TACACTTGACTCTTGACAGCGGCTGAGTGAGCGAGTGATCAGCAAGATAAAAACCCCGTGTAGCGGCGCGGCGTTCGTGTACCAGGCTCGTCGAGGCTTTACTAGCGCTGCCCCGCCCGCGACCGCGAGTAACAGCACCTCGTGAAGCGTGGAGTTACCGCACGCACATGCATGCTGCCGCGCAGTGAATTCGTACGCCGTGCTCTTTCACCCCTAGTAGCTTTTTACCTACTGTACGCATCTTTTACTGCTGCCACCTCCCTGCGTTTTCGCCGTTTGATAATTACTATCCAATCACCTGCACCTGCACTGCGCTGCTGGAAGATTTGTCTCGTAATTTACAAACAAACTGTGTAATTAGTTTTTTTTCTATATTTAATACTCATTATTCGTGCGTTATAAATTTATTTGATGTTTATGGAGAAACGAATAGCTAAAAAAAGAGAATCTTCTGCAATCTAAACCCTTTTTACCTACTGTACGCATCTTTTACTGCTGCCACCTCCCTGAGTACGCCGTCCTTCGTACTACGCGTACCTGCACCTGCACTGCGCTGCTGGATGAGATAGACGAAGAGAATCTTCTGCGCCGGCTGCCGACCCCCTGCCCCTGCGTCTGCATGAGAGTTTGCCGTTGCCACGCACAGCTCTCTCCCGCTCTGTCACTCACAGATGGAAGCGAGCTGAGTGAGAAAAGGGGAAATTTTTACTAGGCTCGGAATGTCCCTCGCTCCTCAGTTCTTGCATTGAGGTCTGTGTCTGTGTAGTGTGCATGCCTTGAGCCTTCACCTCTTCTGGGCTCTGGGCTTCTGCCTCAGCTACCTTTTCTAATCATTGGATAAGCTGCCGGTGTTCGAGTGAGTGGCACACGGTTGTTGTGTGGAGTGCGTGCTGCTGCTCTAGCCAGCCTACTAGGAGTACATGTTGTGTGGAGTGCGTGCTGCTGTTGTAGCCAGCCTACTAGGAGTACTGCTACACTACCAGCGTGTTTAGTTACGTGAATTTGGAAATTTCTAATCAGAAGACGCATTGTTTTTAGCTGCCGGTGTTCAAACATGGACTAATTAGGCTCAAAACGTTGTGTGAGTGCCAAACTGCTGCTGTTTTTTTTTCCTACTAGGAGTAATACTACTACATGTGTGTGTGGAGTTCGATGTGCTGCTGTTATAAGCCAGCCTTTTGGAGTACTGAACTAAACAAGCGACTACTACTACATGTTGTACAACAAAGAGCTACTACGCTTGCATAGCTCATCATGAGTGGCATGTGCGAATTTACATTTTGCACGGATCAATGCAAGAGCGAGGTTGCATTATTGCCACTTTATCTCTCTCCCTCTTTTTTCCTTTAGAAATAAAAATGGGTGGGGGGAATTGGACATGTCTAGCACTCTATAGCTAGCTCCTGGCCTACTGGTCACTGGATTGGAGACTTTTACTGTGACAAGAGCTAGATAGCTAGCCAGGAGAGAAGTCAATACAAGTGGTAAAAATGAAAAAGAAGAGATAAAAGGGGGTGCAAAATGGGAAGCAGGGTGCATGCAACGTGGGCTCCGGTCCTGGACATGTCTGATCCCTACCATGAACCATGCCCCCCGGCCCTTCTTTTTTTTTTTTACCTCCTCCTCCTCTACTACTACCTGTACCTTTCTCACCTCCCCATGTGCATCATTCAGTACTGCGGCTACAAGAAAGTAGAGCCTTGTGCCCTCCATTCTCATGCTAATTGTCCAAGCACAGAGAAGAGAGAGGCAGGGAGGCAAACACTCTTCCTGATTCCAGAATCCAGAGAGAGGGAGAGCGACATATATAGACACAGTGTGTGTGTTAGAGAGAAGAGAGAAAAGAGAGAGAGAGAGAGAGAGAGAGAGACGCTGTTGAAGCTGTGGGTTGTCATGAGCTGCTTCACGTACGTAGATGCAAGATGCACTGTAGCAAGACGAAGGTGCAGCAGCAGCAGTGTGCAGTGGGCACTTCTAGTAGACCAGTACTACATGTCTACATGGTGGGCACTGGGCAGGCAGGCATCTCGATCAGTAGTACACGTCCTACGTGTATGTATCATGCTTGCTTGCTTGCGGAGTTGCGGTTGCCTCTGAAAGAAAGCCTCTCTACTCCCTCGTCTACTAGCTACATACTACTCCTCCAGCAACAAGCCAAGCCGATGGGTGATGTGACGATGCAGCACGCGACGACGGCACCCGTCTGTCCGTGGGGGGGCTCCGGCTGGCCGCTGGCGCTGGGTTGGGGTGGCCAGCAGTGGCCACTACTCCTACTGCGACTGCGACGCCTCCACGTTCCCCCACATAATTTTAAGTTTTAACAGGGGGCGTCGATCCCACAGCGGCTCTTTTTTTTAACTTTTTATGGCAGACACGGCACCCCACGCTCCAACCGTTTCTATACGGATCCCCAGCCAAGCCAAGGCTGCCCCTGCCCCTGACTGACGACTGACCCCCAAACCAAATTTTGTAAGCTTGCCAAATGGATCAGACGCTGCCTACAAGCCCAGACGCCCTGGCGCCGACTCCGAGGCATCTCGAGGTAACAAGAAATATTTTGTTCGTTGATACAGTATTCGAGTACGTGACGTACTAGTAGTAGTAGTACTACTACTTCTAGTGTAGGAGCAAATCGATCAAATTAACAATAGTTTCAAGTGATTATTATTGTTAATCGATCATGAACCAACAAGCGTTTTTCTGTTTGTTGTCATATCTACATTGACCTAGGCTTTCAAGTAGGGAGAGAAGGTTAGGAGATTTTCAACAAGGCTAGCTATCTACCATGCATGTGATGAGTTGGCCTTAGTAGTGTTGGGAATGAATAAATTGCAACCAATATGTATATATATATATATATATATATATATATATATATATATATATATATATATATATATATATATATATATATATATCCATTATGATTTGTACGTGGAGGGTGATTTGTAAGTGTGTTGGCGACCGTCACCGTCATATGTAAGAGATACTCCTATCTTTTTTTCTGCATGGTAATTAATTAGTTTGTCAATTTTCTACATTGTGAATCCCGAATATATGAAACTATCTTGTTTTTTTTTGGGTAAACCATCCTGCCTTCATTGTCAACTATAGTACGGATCAAACTTGAGCACATATATATGTTGTATAAACACCTCCCACACAATGAAGCATATATGTAATTTAAGGGCAATTGTACATAACGCTCATCAATTTTGTAGGAGTATCATCGCCACAACAAAACAATTCCTACAATATAGAGGAAATTTCTGCATTCCAAATCGGTCTCATCCTTTGTTTCATATAGAAAATTGTGTAAACAGGCTAATTTACAAGTTTTTTTAAAAAAATACGAGTGCTCCATGTTGTAATAACTACATTTTTTCAACTTATTGTGAATCTCCAATTTATAGCTTGCTTGATATTTTCTGACTCATAAGCTATTTCCATGGTTTGAATTAGCTTTGAGAAGCAACGTGTCTGATTTTAGAGATTCGATCCAATTGTTCAAAAAAAAAGTGACTTCACGTGCACATATCATTCTGGGACCATGAGGCGGAATGCAAGAATTTGACAAGAATTTTGCTGTAAATGAATAAAATCTTACAAGTAGGAGGAAATATCCACATTTTAGATAGGACTCATCCTTGGTTTCAACAAAGAAATTGTGTAAATATGCTAGTTATATTTGCTAGATAATATCCTAGAATCAAATTTAATAATTTTGTATGTTTTTCCTATTTGTAACTTGCCTAACATTTTGTTGAGTATCATCTATTTTTTCATGTCTATATGCATGAGTTGTAAGTTGCAGTATGCCCCATTATTTATTTGATTCCTTTTGGTTTAAAAATGTGTGACTTCACCTCCCTCATGGTATAATAATCTTGGTATGCATGTGAAGGCAATCTCTCAAGGTATACCAATCTTGGCATGTTAGTATTAATATTCAATATGAGATCCCTTCCTGGATTTAAACCCAACAATTAAAATAAATGACAGATTGGATCCTACCAGTAGAGTATAATCAGAAATGTGTATGCAATTTTATCATACGCAATGGACTTCATATATTTTAATGAAAGGCACGCAGTTGAGATATAAAATCCCACTTGAAAGCAATTACGATACTATATATAACAGCAAGAATTTTAACATATAATATTTCTCAAGTATACACTGTAAATTTCGGTAACAACAGTTTGAGAAAGAAAGAAAGAAAGAAAAACTTAGGTAATACTTAATGGACAGTTTACTTGTTGCAGAACATAAAAGAAATGGTGAAAATGAAAAGGGGAAAAATAAGGATAAAGAAAAAAAATTCCGCATGCATCAACTGGCTTTCTTCATGCCACATGACGAGCAAGCTCTCTTTTCCATTTTTTTCACTGCTCCCTTTGCAACAAACTACCCCCACTGTAGAGTAGTAGCCGCATGCACAAAAATTATCGGAGTAACAGTGCAAACACCCACTGCGTCATCTGCCCTTTTTTGTCACCTTGTCTCCTTGTTGTTCTCTTTAACCGCGCGATCGATCTCTTATTACCCTTCACGTGCCGTTTTCACCGCATCAATTCAACCTCTCTCCGTGAACACCCCAAGCTCGAGGGTTCTTATTAATTACCACAACAAATCAATAAATAAATAACCACATCACCACCAATATTTTTTTGTACTGTAACACCTAAGAGACGACCACTGTAATTAACACAGCAACGAATCAAGAAATAGGAGGGTGGGCAGCAGCGACGACGACACGACATGGATCGAGGTGTTACTACGTGCATGAGGAATGGAGAATTGCCGGAGCATGGAGGAGGGGGATAGTTCTTGTGATTTTAGGTTTTGAGGTGTAGAGATATGGACGAGCATGGAGGCGACAGGTAGGTAGATACAAATGTCACAGGCTAGAGAAAAAAAAAGCCATGGATGGAGAAGAGGAGGATGAGAGTCACCGGGGGGAATAATGTCTGCTGGGTGCGCGCGCGTGGATGGATCGATCACTGGACCATGCCCAAGAAAGATCCGGCTGTTGTTGTTGGGGCCGAAGCCGTGCTGGGAGCGGCGGTGCCGGGCGGGTTGCCACCGCCAGCGCCGGCGTTCGGCCTGACGGCGTTCGGATGCTGCTGCTGCTGGTGTTGTTGTTGCTGGTGCTGGAACTGGATCTTGTACTGCATTTTGTTGCCGTCGACGTCTTCGTCGTCGTCGTCGTCATCGTCGTAGTCGTCCTCGTCGTCGTCCTCGTCCATGTTGTCGCTGTCCGCGCCGTCGATTCTGTTGTAGCCGCTGACCACCGCCTGCGTCTGCTGCTGCTGCTGCGGCTGCCTCTGCTCCATCATCTCCTTCATGATGTCCTCTGGCTTTAAATGTGCAGCGTTATGCAATCAGCATTGGATCACCAAAACGAACAGCAGGTACCACATGTACGGTGCAGTTTAGCTATGGCCACACTCAGAGCGCACATGCATGTGTGTATGTGAGGCTGACTCGCTTACCTTCTTCGCCGCCGGGGCCGCGCCGCCGCCTTCGCCGACGAACCTGCTGGCTGCAGCGCTGCCGTTGCTCGCCTGCGTTTGCATGCCCCTGGATCCGTGCTCTGACGCGCCGCCGCTGTTCCCGTTGCCGGTGCCCGTGCCAGCGGCGTTGCTGGCGGTGCCGCCGTTCTTGGCCGCGTGGTGGGACTGGGAAGGCTGTGTCGGAGGCGGCGGCGGCGGCGTTTGTGAGATGGGCGCCAAGGCCGTGACGACCCTGACCGTCTCCTGCGGCGGTGCCGACGATGCGTTGGCGTGCACCGCGGATCCGGCGCCAGAGGAGGCGCTGAGAGCCGCCTTGTTGCGGTAGAGCGCGTCGAGCTGGTGGAAGTAGGGGCACGTCTTGGAGTCCTCGGGGCGCTTCTTGTTGCTCTCCTTCACCTTCTTGAAGTACTTGTTGATGTTCTCCCACTTCTCCTTGCACCGCTTCGCGTTCCGGTTGTAGCCCATCCGCCGCATGCCGGCGGAGATCTCCTCCCAGAGGGGCCCCTTGGGCCCGGCCTCCTGGTACCGCGTGTCAAGGTTGCTCCGCAGCTGTATCAGCGCGTGAACCTCCGCCTTGGGCCACCGGGACAACGTCGCGCCGCCACTGGACCCCTCGTGCACCGGGGTGTCGGCACGCGGCGTCGTCTCGGCCGGCGTCATGACAATGTCCGTGCTTTGCTGTTGCGGCGCTGGCGCTTGTGGCGTCGAAGCCGGCATTGGCGGCTTCTGCTGCTGCGGCGCGGCCTGCTGTTGTTGCTGCGGGGGCGGAGTCTGCGAGGCTGGTGGTTGCGGCGGCGGCTGGCGAGGCGGAGGCAATGGGTGTGGGGTGCGGCTGAGGCGGCGGCGGCTTCGGATGCGACGGCGGCGGTGGCATGGCGTTGATGGTTGGCGCGGCGATGGACGGCATCGGGATGGTCTGCCCGGTGATCTTCTGTATGAAGGAGAGGACGGCGGCGTCGCGGGAGGCGGCCATGGCGCGCTCCTGCGCCAGGATCTCCTGCTCGCGCGCGAGGCGAGTCATCTCCTGCCGCCGCCACGCCTCCTCGCGGATCATGCGGTCCTGCTCGCGCTTCTCGATGGACTCCAAGAACCTCTGCTGCATCGCCTCCTGCCGCTCCATCACCTGCTTCATCAGGCCCTCGAAGAACCTCCTCATCTTCCCGCTGCCTCCGCCGGCGGCCGAGGCGCCGCCCTCCGACACCCTCTTCCTCTTCCCGCGCTCGTCCGCGCCGCCGCCCACCAGCAGCCTCGGTGCCCTCGTCGTCGGAGTCGTCCTCGTCCGTGTAGTCCTCAGTGTTGGACGTCCAGAAGCTCGGGTAGCCCACCGTCGTCGCCATCTTCATCCCCACGCCGCCTGCCGACACCGCAGGCGGCGGCTCGGCAGGCACGCGCACGGCTGACGGGGCCGCTGCGCCGGACACCCCGCCGGAGATCGCTGGGGGCACCTGCGACGACGCCACCGACGCGGGAGCCGCCCCGGTGCCGTGCAGGGCCTCCAGCTGCGTGAAGAATCGGTACGTCTTGCCGTCGTTCCGGCCGGCGCGGCTCTCCTTGGTGCGCTTGTAGTACTTATGCACGTTCTCGAACTTCTCCTTGCACTTCTTGGCGCTCCGGTTGTACCCCTTCTCAGCCAGCTTCCTGCCAACCACCGCATCGATCAACATTTTAGCTAGCAACAAAAACAAGAAGCTTAATTGCCTTATCAATGGCGTGTCGCCGCCACCAACCACCACAAATTTCAAACCATACAAGCAACAACTGTAGCCCTCACACGAAAGTTGTGCATGCATGTAGTAGAATTTTACTCGATTTGGGCACCCATGGAAAAGATAAAGACAGGCATATGCACACATACATCCATGCAGCACTAGCAGTGGACCAGTGGTAAATCCCAAGAAGAATGCAAAGCACACGCCACACAGGAGGAAGCTAGAAACTGCGAATAAAAATTCCCATCTTTTTTGCGAGAAATTCAGAAGCCAAAGAGATAAAGTTTGGGATTGATGCCTTTGGATCTGAAGAATATTGCAGCTCGTGTCTACTGCTACCTATCGGAGAGACGAAGAGATTGGTAAAACACTAGAGCGGATTTTTTTTTTCTCTGGAAAAGTGGGGAACGAGAGAGATATCGAGCTATTTTAAAATGGAAAAGTCACTGTTCTCGTGAAGGATGGTTAAGGAAAAAGTAAAAAAGAAGTGTTCTTTAGCCGGGTAAGTAATTAATTAACTGGGCCTGCTAGCTAGCCAAATTGGCGCCAGGGGCCGGTCCCGGAGGCCGCCGAGATTTCATGCAGCATTCCGCCGACGAGAATTCCGTTGCGGCGGCGCGCCGGGACGACGGCGTGGCGAGTGATTCATGCGGCAATTCAGCTATAGCTAGTTACGTGTACCTGGAGACCTGCTCCCAGAGGGGGCCCTTGAGGGTGGCGTCCCGGAAGTCGGCGTCCATGTCCGACCGGATCTTGAGCAGCTCCAGCGTCTCCTGCCGCGGCCACCGGTTGCCCGCGGAGCCGCCGCTGGCGCCCTCCTCGCCGGCTGCTGCGGCGGCCAGGCCCTCGGCGTCGAAGCCGACGGCGCCGGCGCCGGACGCGCCGAGCTCGTCGTACTTCTGCGCCGGTGCCGACGCCGGCGGCCGGCTGCTGATGGGCGACGGCGCCTCTGCCAGCGAGATCCGCTGCCCGGCGCCGCCGGCTGGCGAGAATGGCGGCGGCATCTCCACCTGCTGTGCGCCGAATTGCTGCGCTGGGCCTCCACCGGTTCCTACTCCGCCACCGCCTCCTCCTCCTCCTCCTCCCCCGTGCTGCTGCTGCATGCTAACAGCTCCTGCTCCCGTGCACGCGCACTCGTGCACGTCTTTGCCCGGTGTTACCACTGGGGAATGGAGGTGATGAGACGATCAGTACATGAGGGGCAGGTGAAAAAGATGGGAGGGAAGGACAACTGGCTGGAAAGAGGAGAGACGGGCCTCAGAGAGATAAGAGTGGAGAAGGGAAGGAGGCCGGAGAGGGGAAAACGGAAAGAAAGGGAGAAGAGGAAGTAGCCAGAGCAGGCGAAGGGGGGAGGAAGCACTAGTAGTACTACAGAAAACGCTGGCAAAAAAAATGTACTCCTTCATGAGGAGGAAGAAGAGGAGGAAGAAGAGAGGAAAAAAGAATTAAGATACCATCTATAAGCAGCCTTCAATAAATAATAGGGAGGATGGAGGAGAGAGAAAGATGAGGAGAATATGATATCTGTGATGAAGGTAAGGAAGAAGATGGAGGGTGAAGAAGAGAGAAGATGAAAGTTGAGAAATGTTGAGTACTACTGCAGGAGAGAGAGAGAGAGAGAGAGAGAGAGAGAGTGCAGAAGATGATGAGGGGGGTGATGTGGGAGATAAAACAAACAAGATGCTGCGCTGTCAGAGGGGCTTTACCTCCCTGCCTAATAAAACTTGTTAGTACAACCAAAAGGACAGATCGAGAGGAGAGGAGAGGAGTGTGGGCCAAAAAATGGTAGGGAGAGAAGCATGTGAAGCAGGAGAGAAAGGGAGTGAGTGCTGGAAACTGTGGGATGAGTGAGAAAGGGGTGAGAGAGATTGAGGGAGGCTTGTAATAAAAGGGAGAGGGGCACAAATACCCTTCTACAAAACTCCCCTACATCAATCCCCATGGAGGAATATGTTGGATTCTGTGATCATCTTAGTTATTTTCCTACATAATATCTAGTCATTTGTTATGCATAAGATTATGGGCTTGAAAAGCAGTAAATTTTGGATGTGTTATCTTATGCCATGGTAACTAGTTGCTCTCCGTGGTGGCATATACAGCCTGTTCGGTTGGAGGAAAACGATCGTATATGATCGTAAATTTTCAGCCGGAATAGTATTTTTCTCTCACACAAACCAACCAGTAGTACTTCTTCACGAACCAGCAATGATATGAACCAGCCAACCGAACAGACTGATAATCCAAGGTGATTAGAGCAACAAGGGGCACAAAAAAATTACCTTGACCCAAGGTTAATTTTGTAGACGAAAAAAATCCACGTAGATGAGATAAATAACAAATAAAACTTTAACAATTATACATACAAAACAAAATTAGTTAGAGTCGAAAGAAAACAAAATGGAGGGAGAAATAAAGGCAGTAGGAGTGTGATGAGGCAGACAAGACCACATTATAACAGCTGTAATGTGGGCCCTCCCGGAGAGCGAAAGAGGTGCAGAACGTGCACGGCGATTAACGCGGACCCTCAATCCCCACACATCCCAATCAACCCCACCAAAGCGACCTGCAGCCCTGCAGGAAGGCGCCACTGGCTTGTGGGGCCAAGGCATCCACCGGGCCCATGAGTCATGTGGACAGGGTGGGGTAAGATGCGTGCCCAAGTGGAGCAGGGGAGTATAAAAATGGCCATGCATTGGCATGCTGTGGTTAATCCCTCACTTTCCAGGTAATAAATGATCATGTGGCCTTTCTTAATGATTAGGCATAAAAATCTGGGTGATTAATTAAGTTAACCACCCCAATTATATCATTCCCCGCTTAAGTTAGTGTTAGCCATTTCATTTCACATGGGAATACATTTTAGAACAGGGGGGTGCCGCTATGGTCACTTGATAACCGTACCAGAATAGGCAAAAGTTGTGTCTTGTACAAATCAATTTTCTCTATCTATATCGGAATTTATTTGCAGGTTCATCGCATCTTTTGTATATGCCCATATGTTATTATATGTATATATAATATCTTGCGTCACGCCTTTAATATCTCTAGAATATCTTTGGCGAGCGTGTTGACTTGAAGTGATCAACTACTTGCAAATATCACATATCTTTAAGCTATCAATTTCCTCTAGCTATATTCATGATTTAGGTTCGCCATATATTTGGTCCATGCATGTATTGGAGATTCGGCATATCTGCAAAAGATTTTGAATTGAAATGTTCAATAATAAATCATAGATATCTCCGTATATTTAGGCTATTAATTTTCTCTAGCTATATTCGTGATTTTAGGTTCGCCATATATTTGGTCAATGCCTGTATTGGGGACCTTAGGTGCTAACTTTAATTGCGGCGGTATCTTGGTTTGACATGTTGAACCATAAAATTGATTGACACATTGTGGGGGATATGACTCTCGGTATCCATAAGATAAGACATGGGCCGCACCATCAGAGGTGGCTCAACCCACAAGATCAAGGCGTGCACGGCACTGGTCGACATGCGCCGCAAGATATTGTATAGTACGAAATATGATACTTTCCTTGTAACTCTATCATTCCAGAGTATATAAAGAGAGTCAGGGGTCCCCTAGTCGACATCTACATACATCTCATACTCAATACAATATATCAAAGACACAGGACGTAGGGTATTACGTCGATCAGACGGCCCGATCCTGTCTAAATCGTTGTCTCTGCGCCTTGTGTCACCATCCGGTTCCTGATCACGCTCACCCCCACCGATCAATCTACCTTCGTGAGATACCCCTTGGAGAACTGCCGAGCATCTTTTATCAACAGTTGGCGCCCACAGTGGGGCTCGTGCGCGCTGATCCCTGGTGAACCAGATGGCGTAACTCAAGATCAACATCCTTCGCGGCAACTCAACGGATCGCGTCGACATCCTTCGACAACCACGACGCACGTCTTCGTACGCGGATTGACACCGCCAAACTCCGACTACGTTCGTCCTACTCCAATACGAGATCAACTTCGTTCCAGCCGTCAAGCGAGCTGCTTGCGTCGTCGACCAGATAACGCCATACGTCGTCGACTAGACATTCTGTCTAAAGCTAATTCATGCTTTAATATTTTTCTAAATATTCTCCAATCTTCGTATATCGCCATAATGTTTTTCCGAGCTGTTTTCTTCATGTTTGCTCTCCAAACGATTTTCTTTCATGTATACCATCTTAGAGATGACATACAACTAAGTCTAAGGCGAACCCCTGAACAGTCATGTTGACGCTCGGATGTCTCCAGAGACGGCCCTGTTTCCGGCTCCTCCCTACACGTGCATGAGCGTCTGCCCTCTGCGTTATGGGTGGTCGGCAGCGGCTCCTTAGTGACGCTTTGTTCTTTCTACACGCACACGGGCTCCGCGCTCCGCGTTATGGTTAACGGGCTAGCTAGGGCTGGAGACTCATCTACACACTAACTGGTCGGACGATTTATATTAAATATAAATACATATGCAAGTGTTCACACCAACTCATCGCCGAGCTACATACGCTATTTTATCACCATTGTTGATTCTTCTCCAGAGTTCATATATTTTACATTATGTACTACCCGTTCTACATATTTGTATTGCAAGATCATTGTCCAGGTGGTCGGACCACCTGGTGCTCCGACTTCTCCACCAATCAACTGGTCGGACCACTAGGTTCATGGACTTCGTCGCTGACCAGTTGATTGGACTGTTCGCCAGTCGCTCCTATTCAATGCTCACTTCGTCGCCGGCCAGCTACGCCGGGGACTCCTCGGTGCTCGGACATTGCCAGCTACGCCGGGGACTCCTTGGTGCTCGGATTCTTCGTGCAAGCATCGCCAGCTAAGCTGAGAACTCCCTTGGTGGTCGGATCTAGCTACGTCTCATCTGTGTGCTATCAAGCTGCTCCATACTCTTTGGATCAGGGTGCTGATCTTGGGCAGCACGTCTGGGGCCTTGATATGCGCATGTCAGATGACGTTGGCAAGCTTTTAGACTTCTTTTCTTTGACCCTGCTACAAGATTCATTCTTCATCTTCTAGCAGGCTCGGGGACTAAGTGGCTACACTTCACCTGTCGGTGAATGTAGTGCTTATTTCTTGATTTACCCTTCTTATTGACAGAGTCTAAGTGGCTACACTTCTCCTAAGTGGAAGAATTTTTAGAATTTTCAGATTTTGAACTTGAGCTCCTTATATCCTTATGGCAAGCCTTACTTGGGATACACTGCTCGGCGATGGTTCACACTGCTCGACGACGGTTCATAACTGCTCGGTGATGGTTCACAACTGCTCGACAACTCATCACGGTGGTCGAACCATGAGTCTAACTGTTCGACTTTGTTCGCACCTGCTCGGACAAGCTCAAGATGGCGTTGCACAACGGACACAGGGCGCTCGGGGACTAGCTGTGGGGGATATAACCCTCGATATCCATAAGACAACATATGGGCCGCACCATCAGAGGTGGCCCAGCCCACAAGATCAAGGCATGCATGGCACCGGTCGACATGCACCGCAAGATATTGTATAGTACCAAATAGGATACTTTCCTTGTAACCCTACCCCTCCAGAGTATATAAGGAGAGGCAGGGATCCCCTAGTCGACATCTACATATATCTCATACTCAATACAATACACCAAAGACACAGGACGTAGGGTATTACGTCGATCAGACGGCCCGAACCTGTCTAAATCGCTGTCTCTGCGCTTTGTGTCACCATCCGGTTCCTAATCACGCGCACCCCCACCGATCAATCTACCTTCGTGGGATACCCCTCGAAGGACTGTCGAGTATCTTTTGTCGACACACATAGATATCACTATATTTAATTTAATCATCAATTTTCTTTATCTATCTCAATGCTTTTAGGTTCATTATATCTTTTCTCAAATGATGAATTTCATATTTGTACTTTTAATCCCACCTCTAACTCCAACCATATGTTTGCCCAAGGTATTGAATTGAAACCGTGTGCTACACTTATATATCACTATATATTTAACTTAGTACATTACTGGTTACACCATTCTATCCAATGACATAAAATTTAGTGTGAGAACCAAGAAGACAGTGCCTCTAAGTCTTAAATATTTCTCCTTATGCACATATG